ACCAATGGAACAGAACAGAGTCCTCAGAAATAATACCACACATCTACAGCCATCTGATCTTTGACAAACCTGAGAGAAACAAGAAATGGGGAAAAGATTCCCTATTTAATAAATGGTGCTGGGAAAATTGGCTAGCCATAAGTAGAAAGCTGAAACTGGATCCTTTCCTTACTCCTTATATGAAAATTAATTCAAGATGGATTAGAGACTTAAATGTTAGACCTAATACCATAAAAATCCTAGAGGAAAACCTAGGTAATACCATTCAGGACATAGGCATGGGCAAAAACTTCATGTCTAAAACACCAAAAGCAACAGCAGCAAAAGCCAAAATTGACAAATGGGATCTAATTAAACGAAAGAGCTTCTGCACAGCAAAAGAAACTACCATCAGAGTGAACAGGCAACCTACAGAATGGGAGAAAATTTTTGCAATCTACTCATCTGACAAAGGGCTAATATCCAGAACCTAGAAAGAACTCAAACAAATTTACAAGAAAAAAACAAACAACCCCATCAAAAAGTGGGCAAAGGATATGAACCGACATTTCTCAAAAGAAGACATTCATACAGCCAACAGACACATGAAAAAATGCTCATCATCACTGGCCATCAGAGAAACGCAAATCAAAACCACGATGAGATACCATCTCACACCAGTTAGAATGGCGATCATTAAAAAGTCAGGAAACAACAGGTGCTGGAGAGGATGTGGAGAAATAGGAACACTTTTACACTGTTGGTAGGATTGTAACCTAGTCCAACCATTATGGAAAACAGTATGGCGATTCCTCAAGGATCTAGAACTAGATGTACCATATGACCCAGCCATCCCATTACTGGGTATATACCCAAAGGATTATAAATTATGCTGCTCTAAAGACACATGTACACGTATGTTTATTGCAGCACTATTCACAATAGCAAAGACTTGGAATCAACCCAAATGTCCATCAGTGACAGATTGGATTAAGAAAATGTGGCACATATACACCATGGAATACTATGCAGCCATAAAAAAGGATGAGTTTGTGTCCTTTGTAGGGATATGGATGCAGCTGGAAACCATCATTCTTAGCAAACTATCACAAGAACAGAAAACCAAACACCGCATGTTCTCACTCATAGGTGGGAACTGAACAATGAGATCACTTGGACTCAGGAAGGGGAACATCACACACCGGGGCCTATAATGGGGAGGGGGGAAGGGGGAGGGATTGCATTGGGAGTTATACCTGATGTAAATGACGAGTTGATGGGTGCAGCACACCAACATGGCACAAGTATACATATGTAACAAACCTGCACGTTATGCACATGTACCCTACAACTTAAAGTATAATAATAATAAATAAATTTTTTAAAAAAAGGTCATTAAAGGGGAAAATACTTAGGAGGCTGGGATTAGGGTAAACAAAGTCATCTCTTTATATCTTGCTGAACACTCAGTTATCCTCTTGCCATTGGCTTTGAGTTTTGGTAGGCTGCTGACGGACTGGCACTTGGCTGCCTTGTACATTATATAGCTTATCCCCCATACAGTCTGCACCAAGGCATTGCATTCAACTGTTGGGCATCAGAATATAAGCTACTTATGTGAAAACAAGCCTCTCCTCTGAATTTCCCTTTTGTTTTCCCTCCCTGGTAAGTAGTGCCTGTTTTTCACCTATCTGAATGAGAACTCCAGCAGTAGAATAATCATTTTCCCTCTATGCTCATATGTGTTCTATATTGGTGCTCTTGGTTTGCCAGCAGTTTCTATACTCAATTCCACATCTTTGTCCTAGGAATCCACACCCAGAGTCCAGCAAAGGAATTGATATGAACAATTTTATCCTGCGTGTAAAAGGATGTAAATTCCTCTGACCCCTCTCTGGGTAGATTTGCATTTTGTCTTTAATTGTGGCAGGAGGGAAACCAACATTTATTGGGCACTGTGCAAGCAAAGGTACTAGGGGTTTCAAATATGTCATCTCATTTCATCGTACAATAACCTTATAGGGTATAATTACATCCTGTTTAAAAGATCTTCATCTTTCTGAGATTTGCAAGAGTTAAGAGACCTGCTATGGACAAAAATGCCACAATCAAAGTTTTATGATGACCAAGCCTATCTTATTCAAAAATCTGTGGCTTTTTCTCTAGTCTCACGTTGCCTTCAAAGTAGGGGTAGATGGCAGAGAGGGAGGGAGTGAGAGAGGAAGAGTGAGGGAGAGAGAAAGAGAGAGAGAGAAAGAAAGAGAGGGGGAGGGAGAGAGAGAGAGAGAAAGGAGAAGAAGGAGAAGGAGAAGGAGAAGGGGAAAGGGAAGAAGAAGAAGAAGAAGAACAAGAAGAAGAGGAAGAAGAAGAAGAACAAGAAGAAGAAGAGGAGGAAGAAGAAGAAGAAGAAAGAAAAAGAAAAAAGGAGGATGTTTGAGCTCAACACACTTTGAACACTGTGTTTACTGACCTCAATATGTATGTCAGGGTGGGGCATGTCTTTAAGGAATTAGGATGAAGTCTATATAGTTAGATTGAAAAACTGAAAGATTTGAAACCTGCCACTGACTTGTCTTCTGCTGAATTTTTGCTCTAGGTCAGAAGCCCATTGGATGGGTAAGAACTCTCGCTAACTCGGCCTTTTCTTATTAAATGAAAGGATGATACTGAAATTTTGTAGGAGAGGGATGGTGTAGAGTCTCATTTATGATTAGTGACAAATGCTTCCAATGATACAGCAGCCTCATTTCCCTACTGGTTAGGTAAGGATTAGCTCTGCTGAGTGATTGCTTTGTTTTGTTGAATGCAAGATGGAAGTTGGGGAAGGACACATGGATTTTGTTGCATTCTGGTCCCTAGGTAACCAGAATATTTGGATATACCTGAAGTCTTTCCAGTGCTAATGTATCAGTTTTCTATTACTGCTCTAACAAATTACCACAAGCTTGGTGATTTAGAAAAACCTCACAAATATTATTATATCACAGTTCTGGAGGTCAGAAGTCTAAAATGGGTCTCACTGGGTTAAAACTGAAGAGGTTGGCATTTCTTTGAGAGGTTCTAGAGCATCATCTTGTTTTCTTGCTTTTTCTAATTTGTAGAGGCCATTTGCATTCCTTAGCTCATGGCCCCTTCCTTCACTCTCTGAGCCAACAATATAACATCTTCAAATACCTCTCTGATTCTGACTCTTCTATGTCTTCTTCCACATTTAAGGACTCATTATCACATTGGGCCAACCCAGATAATCCAGGATAAGCTCCCCATCTTAAAGTCAGCTGATTAGCAACCTTAATTCCATCTACAACCTTTATCGCCCCTTGGAATGCATCATAACAGATTTACAGGTTCTGGAGATTAGGATGTGGACAACTTTGGAGGTTCTTATTATGCTTACCACAGCTGACTAGCAGGTATTGTGTTTAAAGATGACAGGAGTATCCAAGAGGGAGCTGTAAACTTGGGGTACACCTAAAATCTCACTTCTCTTGCCATCTTTTGATAATCGGCTTCACAGTTTGTTATGGGATGAGTGTTATTGCCTAGGGAGTAAAGGGAGACTGGATTGGAAAAGAACTGGAGAATGTATACTTTCAATATAATTTAAGATGATGTCACTTAAACTGCTTTGTGTTGACAGTAGACAATAAAGCCTAAATAAATTTGCCTAAAATATTTTCTTATAGCCAGTCTGGTCTTTACTTTCTCAACATGCCGGGGAATCACAAGAAATCCACAACCACCAAAGGGAAGAAGTCTAAATGACATTAAATGGAAATGTGCCTTCCCGCAAGGTTGAAACAGAGAGGTTGGCAAGGGTGTGGGGGAAAGGGAGGGCAAGAAAGAAATGGGAAATGTAGGAGAGATGCAGGTTTTGCAGGGCCTTTAAGCCATATTAAGGTTGTTACACTCTAATCTTAAAGGTCAATGGGAATCCTTTGAGAATTTTTAGACATGGAAGTCATGTTGAAAGATAGTTTTAAAAAAGATCTCCAAGACTGCAGTAGGGAAAATGAATTGATACAATCCAGAATTTCTTAGAAACCCTCCACATAATTGAAACAAATAAAAATGTATGCATAATGATAACTGTTCTAATGAGAACACAGGGACACAGGGAGGGGAACAACACACAGTGGGGCCTGTCGAGGGGTGCGGGAGGGAGAGCATCAGGATAAATAGCTAATGCATGTGGGGCTTAATACCTAGGTGATGGGTTGATAGGTGCAGCAAACCACCATGGCACACATTTACCTATGTAACAAACCTGCACATCCTGCACATGTACCCCAGAACTTAAATTAAAAAAAATAACAACTGTTGTTTGAAGAACAGTCATTTGAGGAATACTATTCTTTATATGCTTTTGTTTGAAAACGCCACCTCTCATCTGAAATTTAACAATGGCTGGTGAAGTCAAGTCTTCTAATGGTTGCTGTGCCATGATTGATGGCTTAGAATACTTGCCACGTTAACTTTTAGGGGTAGTAACTTGACTGAAACACCTTTCTCCACAGCCTAGTCCTCAGTCCCACAGGGGCAAGATTTCTATTTTGTTACTGAACCAAGAAATACTGACTCTCAGTAACATTTGCTTCAATACTTTTTTTTGGTTTTCTTACATAACATAGAAGGAAACATACGAGAAGCAGGTTAAATTTTGCACTTTCTGAAATAAAACATATATATATGTGTATATATATGTTTGTATAATATATATGTATTCTTTAAGTTCTGGGGTACATGTGCAGGATGTGCAGATTTCTTAAATAGGTAAACCTGTGCCATAGTGGTTTGCTGCACCTATCATCCCATCGCCTAGGCATTAAGTCCAGAATGCATTATATATTTTTTCTGATGCTCTTCCTCCCCCCAGACCCCCAATAGGCCCCAGTGTGTGTTGTTCCTCTCCCTGTGTCTATGTTAAAATGTACATCTTTTAATTTGACTGCTAAAAATGATAATTTCAAAGTCTCTAATATTCTCAAGCATCCTTCATCTCCATCAGAGGGTGAAGGAGTATGAGCTCTGAGAACCAGAGCAGTGTGTCTGAGTTCCTCCTCCTGGGCCTCCCCATCCAGCCAGAGCAGGAGGCCATGTTCTTCGCCCTGTTCCTGACCATGGTGCTGTACCTGAACAAGGTGCTGGGGAACCTGCTCATCATTCTGCTCATCTGGCTGGACTCTAACTTTCACACTCCCATGTATTTCTTCCTCAGCCACTTGGCCCTCACTGACGTCTCCTTTTCATCTGTCACTGTCCCTAAGATGCTGATGGACATGTGGACTAAGTACAAATCGATCCTTTATGAGGAATGCATTTCTCAGATGTATTTTTAAATATTTTTTACTGACCTGGACAGCTTCCTTATTACATCAATGGCGTATGACCAATATGCTGCCATATGTCACCCTCTCCATTACACTGCCATCATGAGGGAAGAGCTCTGTGTCTTCTTAGTGGCTGTATCTTGGATTCTGTCTTGTGCCAGCTCCCTCTCTCACACCCTTCTCCTGACCCAGCTGTCTTTCTGTGCTGCGAACACCATCCCCCACATCTTCTGTGACCTTGCTGCCCTGCTCAAGCTGTCCTGGTCAGATATCTTCCTCAATGAGCTGGTCATGTTCACAGTAGGGGTGGTGGTCATTACCCTGCCATTCATGTGTATTCTGGTATCATATGGCTACACTGGGGCCACCATCCTGAGGGTCCCTTCAACCAAAGGGATCCACAAAGCATTGTCCACACGTGCCTCCCATCTCTCTGTGGTTTCTCTCTATTATGGGTCAATATTTGGCCAGTAACATTTCCCAACTGTAAGCAGTTCTATTGACAAGGATGTTACTGTGGCTCTCATGTACATCGTGGTCACACCCATGTTGAACCCCTTTATCTACAGCCTTAGGAACAGGGACGTGAAAGAGGCCCTTGGAAAACTCTTCAGTAGAGCAACATTTTTCTCTTGGTGATATCTGACTTTTTTAAAAATTAGAATCTCATTTTGGTTTACTTCATATATTTGATTTTCCATTTGAATATGTCTCAAAACCTTTTATGTCCTGAAGCCCTAAGACAAATGTTAACATGTTGAATGTAATTGGTAAATATTTGTTGACCAGAATTCCATTCTCTTATTAACAATGTTATTCTTTACAAATAATTTTTGAGCAGTGAATGACAAATTAATTGTATTATTTATTTCTGCAACTTGGAGAAGGGACATAATACAATAATATACAGTTTTCTTATCCCTTATTTGAGAAGATGTTTGGAGACATATATACTTTTGGCCCATAACCCCAGGCTTTAACACAACATAGAATTGAAAGAATTAGCTGTATTATTTTACTATTCTCTATAATGTAGACTGAGTGCGATCATTAGTGAAGTAGTGCTTCATACCAGTCTCCTTGGAAATATAACCAAATTCGAGTGCTAATTCTTGGAAAGCATCATTTTCCTAAAAATGCCACTCCAGATTCAGCACTGACTCTCTTTCATGAAGAGAAAGAGAGCCCTGTCTTCCAAATGAAGAATGAAGAGCCCTGTCTTCCAAATGAAGAATGAAAAGCAACGCTTCCCAAATGTTAGGGTACATGAGAATTCCTGGAAAGATTGTCAAAACTCAAATTCCTTGGATCTACTACTACAAATTATGATTTAGTAGAATTTTGGGTGAGGTCTAAGAATTTGCATTCCTAACAAGCTGCCACATGAAACGATGCTGTAGAATGTTCACTAAATCTTGGAAGTTGAGGGATGCACATTTATAACACCTCACCTGAATTCTGGTAGTAGATGGAGTAAAACAAAAGACAGCTTATTTCAGTAATAGAGAAATCAGTGATTCGTGTTGATATTTTTGTATTAACTCTGACTGTAGTAAATTCCTCTCCCCAATCTCTAATATAGGAGGATGTCTCCTGTATCAGCTATCAGCTTTTCTTATCTCTTTTATATCTAACATAGAAATACCCAGCTACAAAAAAAAAAAAAAAAAAAAAAAAAAAAAGAAATACCCAGCTACTCCATATCATGGTTTGTATCATCATGCCAACCTATATATGTAATGAAAATGAAGCCAAAGTTTGGAAAAAAATTACATCTCATGTCCATCTGTGTCTTGTTTCCATTAAGCCTGGTGGAATTTCAGTGTGCCATGTAACTTTTCTAATGTCACTCAAATTTCACACGTGATGTACATTAAATTGTGTATTGGTTAGAAAGCACTAGATGATTTCAGAAAAACTATAACCCCACAAAGGGACACGAGTTCTTGGCAGAATATTGAACAGTTTTATGTTAAATGATGTCATTCATTTATAAATGCTCACTGAGTTTGCCAGGCTTTTTGACATATCCCATAAAATAGCATTTGTTGTGGATCGAATCCACATTATTGTCATTTTTACCCCAGTCTTTATGTCCCCTCTTTATCTCACATTGGCTCTATGCAAAATGCAATATGTTTACTCAATTTTATACATAAAGATAAGGCTAATTATTATGTAAGCAGTAACTGGGATGGCATTGGTGATGGCTTAAACAGTAGTCTGAGATACGAAGATAGAAATTCTTGTCCTTTTTGAAGGAGTTTGATATTTGATCTATGTGTGGAATATTGTAGTAGCAACTTCCCTGTTATTCAGCTAATTTCATTCCATAATCTTTCACCTAGGCTTGGGTGGGAGAAAACAATCTGGCATTGTTGCCTGTCTTTCCACAGAGTTCACCCTGAACTTCCATTGTTCATGTATTTTCACAAGCATTTTTTAAAAAAATTTACTTTAAGTTCTGGGATACATGTACTGAACGTGCAGGTTTGTTACATCGGTATACGTGTACCATGGTGGTTTGCTGCACGTATCAACCTGTCATTCGGTTTTAAGCCCCGCATGTATTAGGTATGTGTCCTAATGGTCTCCCTCCTCTTGCCCTCCACCGCCCGACAGGCCCCAGTGTGTGATGTTCCCTCTCTGGGTCCATGATTCTCATCATTCAACTCCCACTTATGATTCACAAGCATTTTCACAGTTGTTTCTCCTCTTTTCAAAAGGGCAAGCCGCAGACACTGAGGAATTAAGAGTGCAGCACATTAAAACTGATGCTTTTGAAGATATTAACGTAGCCTTAATCAGACAACTCACAGAAGAGATGGTTTCAAGGCATTTCATAGTCTTTAATAAAATTTAACAGTGAATAAAATAAAAAATCTTAAGTAGATATGTATGTATTGATATGCATAGAAATAGAAGTGAAAAGATGGTGACAAATTATCACAGAAAATGAAAGCTATAAAGTACTATAAAATAAATTCATTACATAAACAGACATGTTTATGAATAAAAGTCATTTTATTTTTTTTAATTTCAACTTTTGTTTGACATTCGTGGGGTGCATGTCAGGGTATATTGCATGGGTATATTACGTGATGCTGAGGTTTGAGCTAAAAATGATATCATCAGCCAGATAGTGAGCGTAGTACCCAATAGTTGGTTTTTCAATCTTTCTCTAGTAGTCCCCAGTGTCTATTGCTCCCATCCTGTCCACGTGTACCTAATGTTTAGCTGCCACTTATAAGTGAGAACATGCAGTATTTGTTTTCTGTTTCTGTGTTAATTTGCTTAGGATAATGGCCTCCAGTTGCTTCCATGTTGCTGCAAAGGACATGATTTCATCCTTTTTGATGGCTTCATAGTATTCCATGGTGTACTACATTTTCTTGATCTCGTCCACCATTGATACACACCTAAGTTGATTCCATGTCTTTGCTATTATGAATAATGAAAATGCCCTCTTAGAAGGATAAAAAATGAATCATGAAAGGGTGAGATACTTTGACTTTCTCCTTTGTTTTCATGTTTATATTATTTGTATTTCCATCATGAAGAAGAATTAGTTTTATAAGCAGCAAAACAAAAGAGAATTTTCTTTTGAGAGAAAAGTCTTTATAGACATCTCAACCTAACACCTAACTAGGGGAAACCAGAATCTGGCAGGAGAGGTCTTTCCCCATCTCCTTTTGGACTTAAATTCACAGGGCCTGACATTCTTCCTAAGGACAGAGGTTCCTTCAAGTCTGCCCTTAGAGCCACTTACCTCAGGATTACCTGTCTCCAGGTCTCATGAATGAATATCTCTGCAGGTGGAGCTTGGACCTGATCTTTAACAAACTCCCGAGGTGATTTTGATGAACATCAAAGTTTGGAGACCACTGCCCAATGGCATCTGTCTTGGGGAGAGTAGGAGGGAAACTGAGCAATTAATGCATGTTTAATGCAAGTCTCTAACCATGAGCTTGGTGCCCTGTCACCTTGAGTCCTCTCCCTTGTGGGTAGAATAGAGTTGTTACCTCTCCATTTCTGAAGCCTGTAAATTGAGAAGAGTAAGCTCCAGGTTCATGACTTTTTTTTCTCCAATGTCAGTGAGGTTTACGACCACAGAATTTGGAGGCTAACTCTGGTCCCTTGGTCTCCTAGAAAGAAGGTGAGAAACCAGTCCATATTCCCAGAAATGACTTGAACATAAAGTTCAGAGCAGGACTGGTATCCTTCTCCAGTAGCAGGTGTGTGTGTGTGTGTGTGTGTGTGTGTGTGTGCGTGTTTGTGTGTGTATACAGTTGCTCAGCATTTCTCTGTACTCTTGCTGAAGTCATTTTTTATTCCCAGTTCCAAAAGACAGGGATGCAACATTCACCACTGGCCAATAACTCTCACGTCTTTAACCCCAGCTTGTGGGGAGATGAGGGATAGAGCCAGCTGGCTACATAAATTGATGGGCATATCTTCAAAATTCAAGCTAGGGGTCTCATCTCATCATTCATGTTCTAGATATTAGAATGTTGGCTTATTTACTGCATGCAGTGTTAGAGAGCCCTCTCTTTCCAAAGTCATTTCCTTCCCTTTAGACAGTACAGCTACTTTCTGAAAGTATGTTTGAAGGACACGTTTAGCTAGAGAGCTTTTGGTCCTTTCTTCCTTCATGTAGCATCCATATTGCATCTGCTTGATATTAGAATCTGCTTGATAATTTCCTGCCTGTTATCTCTAGTGTATTCTTAAACCTTCATCAAAGGCAGCAAACTTTGAGCCCAGGCAACATCTCCTACCCCAATTACTTTTGCCTGGTTTGCACTGAAGATAAGACACTGAGTTTCTTCCCTAGAGGTCTTTGCACTTTATTTTAATGGAAACAATGTCATCTCGTATATGACACCTCTATTGATGAGGTGTTTTTATTGACCTTACCTTATTTAATTTTTGCTATAATTCAGGGATTATGTTCACAATTCTAAAGAGGAAAAACTGAGGCTCCTAAGATGTGCACTACCTTGCCCAAAGACATAGAACTTTGATTGAACCAGTTCTGTCTGACTTCAAAACCCATGCTTTGTCTTCTATAATACACAACCTCACTGTCAAGGGAATATCAGTTATCAGCAAGAAGTCATTGAGGTTTTAGTGATCAGGAGGCTGAATGTGGTGGAGTGGAGTCCGTACATGGTCTTTACACAGAATTTATGCA